GTTCCCAACCTGGAGGGTAGGGGGTTTCATTACTCTAGATAGAACAGTCTCCACCCCCAGGGTGCACGTCTGCGGCGGCTCAGGCCCCCTAGACCCCACAAGCTGAAGCAGGGGCTCTTCCCAGCTGTTATTCAAGGAAGGGCAGGGGGCCCCTGGGCTTGCCTATGAAAACACTCCAGAGGCCCCTGGGCCGGTCAGGTCTCTCCTAATTTCTCATTCACACAGAGTGGCTCGGGGGAGCCGGGGTCAGAGGCCCAGGTCTGGAGGGCTGGACTCTCAGCCTGAACATGGAAAGGCAGGGGACAGAGGGGCCCAGCCTCCTCCCTCAAAGTAGACTGTTTCAGGGACCAACTATGGATTCCAGCTGCAGATGGCCAACCGTGCCCAGCTCCACCTGGGTCTCTCAACATTGCCATATATTTTGTTGCTTTCTGGGACAAAAACGAACAAAAAAACAAAACCTTGGATCTCAAACTTGTCCATAAGTCTCACTATACTTAAGGAGAGACATTGGGAGGTTTTTTTTTTTTTTTTTTTTTGGCATGGCGGATGACAGAGCTGAGGGTCCCTACCTCTTTTGGGTCCTTGAGAAACTAAAGCAGTCTCTCTCCCTCCCTAAATTATTGATCCTTGGAAGAAGCCCAGTGTCAGACCAGCCCTTGTCCTGTGTGCCCCAAACAGCCCAGGGCCTTCCTGGTCGGTGCCCTTGTTAACCCTCCCCCCAGGCTGCCCCAAGGCCAGGAAGAGAAGGAAGCCCTCCTTCTCCAGAACCAAAGATTGGCCTCAGCGGTGGGGACAGTTCCCAAATGGGCCAGGGAGGAAGGACTGGGCCGCAGAGAGAGACCCCTTTGTCTTTCCACCCGATTTTCATAAAATGCAAATTCTCAACAAGCCGTTCATTGTGTTGGGGGGAGCCAGGGGCCAGGGGGAGAGGAGGGGAGCTGAGCTGGGAAAGGCCACCAGCCCCCTCTCCTTAACCTGGGTCTTGAGTTCCCCTTTCTGAGTGCTCGGGTCCCCCTCAGGCCAGAGGAAGAGCCCGGCACAGGGGGAGACTCAAAGGGCGGGCGCGGCCCGCATCCTTCCTGCCCCGCAGGCGCCCTGCGACCCCTCCCACCGCGTCCGGTCGCGGCTGACTTCCAGGGAGCGGTGGCCTCGAGCCCCGCACCTCAGACGCAGGGCAAGGCGGCAGGCCCCGAGTCCAGGAATCCGGGCGTCCCCTCGGAAGGGTCGGCGGCGCCGCACGCACTTCCCCCGCTAGAAGGCACGCGGCGCGTCCGCCGCCCTCCCCACCTGGAACCCGCAGACTCTCAACTTGACTGGGCGAGCGGCGGGACCCCAGCCCGAGGCCTCCCCGCTCCCACGGGAGAAGCCCGGGCGAGGCGTCCTGGGGACCTCGAGACGTCTGGACGCGGGGAGGCGGGGCTCGGGGGTGGCCGAAGACCAGCTAGGGCGAGGGGAAGGGGACCTGGGGAGGCGGCAGGAAGGAGAGCAGCGAGACGGGGCGGGGGCGCATGGGGAGTGGAGAGCCGCCAGGTCGGGGGCGGCGTGGAGCCGGGGTCGCAGGTATGGGGGATTGCTCCTTCTGAGCAGAGGATCGAGGGGACCCAGCAGGATCTGAACGTGTCCGTGGGGGATCAGCGGGCTGGAGAGGAATGGGGGAACTCGGGGACCCCAGGAGAATGGTGTGGGGGTCGGCAGGCGCGAATGGGGGCTGCTGCGGGTTGCGCGGGTCCTGAGGAAGGGACCCCGGAGGGTACCGAGAGCCGGGCGGGGGGCCGCGGGAGTTGGGGGGGATACGCACCTTTCGGCGGGGCAGGGTACCCCCGGACACGGCGAGCGCGCGATACAGCTCGGCCGGGTGATAGTCCTCCAGCGCCGCGTACAGCTCGTCCCCGGGGGTCCCAGGGCAGGCGGCTGCGGCAGGGGGGCCCGAGGCCGGGGTCGGGGTCGGAGGGGCTGGAGCAGCTTCCGAGTCCGGGGCCGGGGCAGCGGGGTCTGGGGTGGCCGCCGCCTCCTCTTTCTGCTGCAGCTTCCTGAGTCGGCGGAGGGTCATGGCTCCGGCGCCCCTCGGAGGCGGCGCTCGCTCCGCGCGTCGGGGCAGGCGGCGACTCGGGGATGCCAGCCGGGAGGGTGGTGTGTCGCCTCCCTTTATAGGCTCGGGGGATCGGGGCGGGCGGGGAGCGGCCTCGCGGGGCCTCGCCCCCCGCACGGCCGGCTCCGCCCCCCCCGGGGGGGGCAGCTGTCCCGGAGCCCCGCCCACAGCTCCCGAGGCATGCCAGGCTGGGGAAACTCTTGGGGACCGGAGTGCTCAATAGGGGGAAAAGCTAGGGGAGGGGGGTCCAGGCCATCGGGGGGCGGAGCATAGGTCTCCGTGATACCTGAGGGACGGGGAGCCTGTGAAGGGGCTTGTGCACGAGATTTGAAAATTTAGGGATGGATATCTTTGGAGATTCAAGCAGTCTGGCCGTGGAGCGACCGTAGGAGTCCTTAGGAGGAGGTTTGGAGGCCGCCCAGAGTAAGATTCTAGGAGACCCAAGAGGCTGCAGGAGACTTTAGGCAAGGAGAGGAAGGCAGGGGGAGGGGTGAGGTCCCTGATGGGAGGGAAGAGATGGCCCTGAACTAACTGTGCAGAAGCCGCTAGGGAGTGAAAGGGTCCAGGATTTCCCCCTTACCCAGCTGTCCCAGAAGAGTTCAAAGAGGCTGCCTCTCCTTCCCATGTCATGGGGAAAGGGAAGAGGGGGTAACCCAAAAAGTAGTAGACTTAATTCTGGCCTGGCCCCTCAGAAGGTCAGGAGTTGTTCCTCCTGGATAAACCTTTTCTCACCTCCTGATGTTGGAGCTCAGGTATCCTTTTCCCAGCCGATACATCCTTACTGTGGGGGTTGACTCGCGGCAGGGGATGTGACCGCGCTGAGTGGGTGCTCAGGGTTGGGGGATGGTGCTCAGCCATTATCTGACCTTTTTTGGGGAGCATCTTCCCCCCACCCCCGGCTGTGTTGCTGGTGGCTGCCAGGCCATGGGAGAGGTGGGAATGGCCCAGCTGTCGTCAGTGGTACCCGAATAAGAAGTGAGAGGAGGAAGTGGAAGGCCAGGTCTGGCATCTAAAGAGTGGCCAGCCACCGCAGGGCGTCAGCATCACAAGCTGGGGGCTCCACATCCCGACGTCTGCCACTGAACAGAAGCCAGGAATGTCCACATTGTCCCCTCCTCCAGTGTTCCCAAATCCGTTATGCCTTTACAGCTGACATTTATTGTGCTGTGCACACTGTTCTGTGTAATCTTTTACATCTTCTACATCCATGAATGAATTCATTTGGTCTTTATAACAACTCTATGAAAACAGATACCATTATCTTCCCTTACAGAGGAGGAAACTGAGGCCCAGAGAGGTTAAGTAACTTGCTTTAGGTCACTCAGTGGCAGAGCTGATTCGAACCTGGGCAGCCTGGTTGCAGAGCTTGCAATCTAACCACCGTGTGATGCTGTCTTCCGCTGTTCTTCATTCACCCTATGTTGAAGCCCTGCTCCGGGCCAGGTTACAGAGGCTCTTGGTCAGGTAGGGAGTGATACACGCACCGGTGCTGTGTTAGATGCATGGCCTGCGGAGTACAGAGGGGCTAGTGGCCCATCAGCCTGGGGAGGCCAGGAAAGGCTTTCTGTCTCCTGTCTCTCTCAGTCCATGGGTCTGTCTCCGTCTTCTTGCTTCCTAGTCCCCTTGACTCCGTCTGTGTCTTCCCCACCCCCAGGCCCCTGGGGCCCCAGCCCCTACAGGAAGTGTGTGTGGGGGGGTGCTTCTTCACCCTGCAGTGATTACACAAGTCCAGATGGCAGGATGCTCGTTGGGTGGGGGGCAGGGGGTGGACTGGGGACTGCCACGAACCAAGTGCTAGCTCCCTTAGTGCCTTCCTCTCCCTCCTCCCACCTTCCCCCTTGGCATCACCAAGTGGCCATCAGCTGAGGGGCCGAGGGGGCGTTGGTGGGGAAACACGGGACTCTATTGTGAAGCATTAGCACAGATGGACCCCTGGACCGTCTGCTGCCTGCTCCTGACAGACGGCATCTGCAGCGGGGGTGGGGATGGGGAGGCGGGCAAAGGCAGCAGAGCCAATGGTTTCTATCCTCCTCACTCTGTGCTTACTCATGCAGGGACCCTCAAAAGGGCATCTTGTAAGCTCTTCCGTACCGCCACCCCACCTATCCCAGAGGCTTACCTAAGGGACACCTCCTCGCCTGAAACCTGGAGGAGCAGACACCACGGGTGTCACAGCACCTGTGTCTGCCAGCCCTGTTGAGACATTTCTCCTTCAGACTGACGTGGAGACAGAGACTGCCCATCAGTATCCAGGCCAGTCTGCCTCCCGACCTCCAAGTCAGAGAACAGCACCAGAGAAGTGAAGCTTACACCAGTTTCCGCCTCCTGCCAGGCAGGGCACCCTAGAGAACCCCAGAGTAAAGGTGGGCCCAGGAGATGCAATTTCTGTCACGTTCATTGCATGATTTCCTCAAACCCTAGAACTTCAGAGCCGGGAAGGGCCCCGTGGGCCGGAAAGGACACCAAGCGGTCCAAGTCCTTATTCAACGGAGGAGGCGAACTGAAGCCGACCAGGGAGGGAAAGACGGTGGCAGAACAGGCACTAGAACCCACTAGAGCCCAGGTCTCCTGACTCTGGAGACCATTTAACTCAGCTGCTGGTAGCTCCCGCTGAGAGCTCAGAGACCCGCGCCTGCTTCCTCCTCCCAATCTTCCCAGTTTCTCCAGGGAGGTGATGGAGAGCCCAGGATGCCACACTGTGGGGTGGTGGTGCCCTCTGGTGGCCATGAGTCTCGGAAAATCTTCAAATCAGACTCCGAAGGGCTGTCTGGCTGGTGCTAGGCCCCCTCCTGGAATCCCAGCCAGGTTTAAGGAGTCCCCAGAGCTCCTCTCTGGCCTGAGATGGTCTGTGTTCAGCTGAGACACCAAGCCCCGCTTCGGTCACTGCGTTCTGGAGTTTCACACCTGTTAGGAAGTTGTGTGTTTGTCACCCAGCAGCAGGTGACACTGCTCAGTGAGAGGGCAGACAGCTGGTGGGCTTCCTCCATGCAGGAACCTGCACACGTCAGACGGTACACCAGGCCTAAAGCTTTGCTTTTTCCGACCCTCCACGACTTCCTCCTGAGCCCGAGTCTCTGGTCTAGCATCTGCTCTCCTCATCCCATCTTCTGCAGCTCTCTTAAGGCTGGTGGTGGCGGGGGGTGGGGGGGGGAGGGAAGCATGCTGCACGCCACCTGGGGCCTCATATTAGGACACCTCCCCCTCTGTTCTCCTCCCCCCGGAAGCCTCTTTGCAAAAGCCCCATGGCTCTGGCTCCCGCAGACATCTGCACTCAATCTGTACCTTATTCCTGAGCGTGTCCCGGGCTTTCAGAGTGAACTCTCCAGGCTTTGCTTCCTTTGGATCCAGCTGTCCTGGCCCCTGGCTCTCAGGGTAGGCAGGGCTTGGCCTGTGGTAGGGGCACAGAGAGCGGGGGCTTGGCTAATGGACAAGGCCTAGGTGAGATCCCTTCTCTTTGGGACAAGCCCTTGCCCAGGTACCTAACAGTCAACGGTCCCCTGAGTCCCGTCCTCGCCCACCTGCTCCAGCTCTAGGCTCCCATCAGGAGGTCGGGGCACTCAAGGCAAGAGCTCCAGAAGCCCAGGCTCCTCTGGCACCTGAGTTAATGTCAGGGCTCTCGCACAGTCATTTCATCCCAGGACTGGGGGGCTGACCGGTCCGCCGGGGCTCCTCTCTGGGTACTGCCACTGCTTCTGAGTGGAAGGTGGGAGGGTGAGGGCCTGGGACGGAGCCGGCTGTGTGGGCAGGAATGAGGGGCTGGGCCCTGGCTCTCGGATGCTGAGGGAGGCCTGGGCAGCTGTAGGCAGCTGACTGGGCAGGGAGCGGTTGTTTTCCTTAATGGCTCATGTTGCCCAACTGTTTCCACGGGCTCGTGTCTGTGTGTGGCACTGGGGTCCAGGGGAGCTCAGCAGCAGGGACGAGGGGGGAGGTGGATCCATCACAACCCAAAGAGCTAATTCTAGGGGGTCTGAGAGCCGGAGCCAGGCGGATATGGCCGTTTATTTGTTTTGGATACTGTAGCTTCTGAGTCTAGTCCCAGCCAGAGGCCAGGGACCGTCTTGCCTCCTAGGTGGGATGGCAAGGTATCTCGGGCTTGAACAGGTTAGACTGGCAGGAGGGAGAAAGGGTCATCTCTCTAGTTTTCCTTACAGTAACCACAAACCACTTCTAGGACAGAGGGCACGTATTATCGTACCCCACCTCATTTCAGACACGTACAGACGGCTAGGACAGAAAATGACAGCTTTTAGGGCCCCAGACTCCCCAGATCTCGTCTCTCTTGGCAAACACAGCTGCTCTGGTGGTCCAGCCCTGGTTCCTTCTCCCCAGGGACAGCATTGTACACAAGGCTAAGATCCTCCCGTGGACTCCACACTGAAGTCGGCTTCTCCTCACTGTCCACATCTGATCGCGCCCCCAAACTCTGCGTCCTTTCCACTGTCTCTCCCCGTCCTCCAGCTTTTCCTGCTCTACCACCTCGGCAATTACCTTCTCAAGTCAGCACTGTGTTCTCCCCCCCAGTACAAGTAAGATCACCTCACTCCCCTGCTCAAAACCCATCAATGGCCTGTCATTCCTACAGCAGGAATGAAAAAAGAGGTGTTCATTCACGGGACAACTCCACATAAGCGAGCTGTTGAGAAGAATTTGGAGACCAGGTCGAGACTCAGGAGGAAAAACTACTGAGATTAGCAGTCTGAGGCAGTGGTCACAGGGGAAGTGATGGCACTGGTGGCTCTCGGGATACAGTCTTGACGGCTTAGCACAGCATGGCTCTAAGAGATTTCCTGTGTGCGCCCCTGGCTCTCTTGCTCTAGCCATACTGAACCTGTTGTTCTTGAGCAACGCACTTTAAAAAAATAATTCATTAATTAATTAATTTCTGGCTGCGTTGGGTCTTCGTTGCGGCGCGCGGGCTTTCTCTAGTTGCAGCGAGCGGGGGCTACTCTTCATTGCGGTGCATGGGCTTCTCATTGCAGTGGCTTCTCTTATTGGGGAGCACGGGCTCTAGGTGCGCGGGCTTCAGTAGTTGTGGCACACAGGCCCTAGAGCGCAGGCTCAGTAGTTGTGGCGCATGGGCTCATTTGACCCGCGGCCTGTGGGATCTTCCAGGACCAGGGCTTGAACCTGTGTCCCCTGCATTGGCAGGCGGATTCTTAACCACCGTGCCACCAGGGAAGTCCCGACACACTCTTTTTGACCAAATCTCCCTCCTCCCCAGTCAGCAGGCCAGTGCCTATCCCTAAATAGATGTCACCTCTCTTGACCCCATCTTCCTGTCTGTTCTGTGTCTCCAGAGGATTGTGTGTCTACCCCACCATAGCACTTACCTCAGTCCATTGTAATTACCTATTAACTAGTCCATTCCACCAGGTAGGGAGCCCCTGAAGGGCTGGCTTTCCCTAGGCACCTCACCTGAGCTTCCACGACGCATTACATATGGCTCTGTAATGGGACTTGCTAAAACCTGCTCTACTCTCGATTCTCTGTACAAATCCTCTCGGTCTCGAAGGGCAGTGGCCACAGCTTGTTCATCCTTGTATTCTGCCTACTGCTTTACACACTAAGGTTGCTGAACTCGTGCTTGTTATTTAATAAGAATGTATTTAGAGCCCAGTCCATCCTATCGTTCCTTAAACCTTCCTATCCCATTATCCTCCATCCTTGGCCTCCAAGGAGCATTCCCAGGTGGATCCAGAGCCGTCTGCCTTATTCCTTAAATCCCACCCTGTCTGGCCATGGGATGCCTAACACTTTTCAGGGTGTGACGCCAGGGGTTTGGTCAGACCAGTCTGGATGTTCCTGTGAAGGTCTGATTGAGATGTGATCAACATTTAAATCAGTAGACTTGGAGTGAAGCAGGTTAGGTTACCCTCCACAGTGTGGACGGGCCTCATCCAATCAGTTGAAGGGCTTAAAAGACTGAGGTCCCCTAAGGAAGAAGAAAGTTTGCCTCCAGACTGCCTTCAGACTCAAGACTGCAACATCAATTCTTCCCTGGGTCTCTAGCCTGTCAGCCTGCCCTGTAGCTTTCAGACTTAACAGCCCCACAATTGTGTGAGTCAATTCCTTTAAATATCTATCGATCGATCGATCGATCTATCATCTATCTAATCTATCCAGCCCTATTAGTTTTCATTTCTCTGGTGAACCCTAAGAAACCGTTCCTGTCTTGATCTACAGCTCTCCCTCCCTCTCCCTCCCCTGCACTATGCAGCCCTCACATGTCCCTGCATGTCTCTTGAACTTTACTACTCTACCCCTCATTTTGTTTGGGTTGTATTTAGCAAGCACGTTCTCCAGACTATAGATCAGAAGACATGGCCGGGGGTAGGGGGTGGGGACAGAAATTTAAAACGTGTGAAACAAAACCCCTAGTGATACACCATTAAACGAACGCAGGTCTCCTGGGTCGTGGGCCTTACAAAGGTGAAACGTTAGTAACCTTCAAGGGCACATGAAGAGGTCCCAGAATTGCTGCCTTTCTGATTTTCAAAACGGTAAGGTTGAACCTGCAATCCACAGCCTAGTGAACTTTAGGTCCGTGCTTGGCAAGACGACTGATCATTGATTGGCTTTTGAACTAGGCTGAGATCCACTGCAAGCCACTTCACCTTTCCTTCCGACAGACAGATCAGAGATGCAGCAGCCACAGGAATACCTGCCACTTCAACAAGGTACCTGGGATTCTGCTGTTATCTTTGTCCAAAAAGAATTAGGGCCAGGGTGCAAGGACAGTTTAATTAGCAGCCACTCTGGGTTACTAGGATATATGCCAAACTTCGAGCCAACTTCTAGAGGTAGGTTACTTGATTTTCTCCGGCCCAACAGTCTCAGATGGGAGGACAAATGGAAAACTCTGGGCAACAAGCAGAATTCTAAAATATTGCCAGGCTGCAGCCATGGACAGGTTCTGTGGTAAAATTTCACAGGGTAAACCTGTAAGGCGTATAAGGTCCTGCACTTGAGTTCAAAATACCAACTTCTCACATACAGGAAAGAGGAAGGGGGCTGGATTGTACTCAACCCAAACATAAGATGCAGTCCTGGGATGTGACCTGAAGGTGTCAAGCAGAGTCTGGGATTCTCCTTCTAGTCTGTGCTGCCAGTGAATGCCTGGGTGGAATGTCATGTGCTCTCCGTGGCCCCAGGCTTGAGCCAGGTTCTCGGAGAGCAGCCGGCGTGGGGGAAGGGCATGGCGCCATGGAGGCAGGATGTGCAGAGGCTGAGGGGCTGCAGTCTCTGGCCAGACACCCTGGACCCAAGGTCTTCTCCACCCTTGTGAGCTATGTGGGCAACTTATTTGTTTTCCCTAACCCTCAGTTTCCTAATCCAATCTCATACATTGTTTTGAGGATGAAAGCAGTTCATGTACGTAAAGCCAATTATGGCACACTGCGCAGCACAGAATAACTTTTTTTTTTTTTTTTCCGCCGCACAGCATGCGGAATCTTAGTTCCCCAACCAGGGATCAAACCCATGCCCCCTGCAGTGAAAGCGCGGAGTTTTAACCACCGGACCGCCAGGGAAGTCCCACACAGTAACTTTTTAATAAGTATCTGCTAATATTAACTGAAAAAACCCTAAGCTTTGCCACATTCATAGTAACGTAACAGCTGCCTTCAAATATGTTAAGGGACCTTATATGGAGTAAGTGCTCTGAATCATCCTGGAGAGAAGATGCAGGGAGGTTTCCCAGTTCTAGGTAAGGAAGGGCTGTTCACTGAGCAGACGGCCGGCAGGTGAAGGTTGTGGTCCTGAGTGTTACAGCAAGAGGCCCCCGCCACTCGGCAGGGATGCTGTGGGGGAGGTCAAATGCCTGATGGGTGCTGGACCTCTGGAGTCCCATCTAAACTTGAGAGTCTATGATTCTAGGACTTGCTCTCTTGGTTCCTCAGCCTGGAGATGTTGGGTTAGGGCTGTTCCTCACAGCCACCCGCACACTGAAAACCCCGGAGTCACCACTGAAGACTCCCATCTCAAAGTCGCTTAGCCAACCCCAAATTCACATTTATACTCCAAGTCAGGAGGGGGAAAGCTAAAACTGAGGAGGGCCCAGGCTGCCTTCGAGAGTGGGTGGTTTGTGACTTACCAGGATCAAGACCCTCTTTTATATAAAGAGAAAAATGCTAAAAGACAAAGACAAATACAGGCAAAGCCCAAGAAAAGGTGCTGAGTTCGTCCTCCGCTCCCTCTCACACGCCAGGCCCTCCTTCTATGAAACACAGGGCAACAGCCTCAGGAAGACCCCGGATGTTCCGACAGGGTCCTCTTCAGACATGACCTGCTGCAGCTGCTGTTAACGTCGTACCCCAGCCAGTGGCGGGAGGGACGCTACCTGAAGCACCTGCCCAGCTCCTCTGATAAAGGCTGGGCAGCCAGTCCACAGATGTAAAACAGATGGCACCAGAAAAGCTCTGTGAATAAAACTTTAATAATGTACAGCAGAAACTGGACAGGCTCATTCTTATATTAAAACAAAAGATTTCCTATATTACAACTTATTTACATTTGCATACTGAAGAGGTAAAGTGTCTAAGTGGCTATCTTACAGTCCATTCTAATAAAATGTACAAAAACAAACAGAAGTACCGAGAATGCCGTTCGGGGGCCTTGACGGCGACCTAAGAACGGGCTTGGACTTGGTCTGTGAATCCAGAATCCAGAGGTGCAGGTAGCCCTATGGATCGGGGTTAGCCTCAGGGGGCCAAAACCACAGCTTTAGTTTCTTCCCAACTCTCTCACTCCTAACTCTCGGGTTAAGAGTGGTGGCGGTGGGATTGGGAGCTTCCCCCCAAAACTGCTCAGTCTTCCCCAGAGGTGGAGAAGGAGGAGTGTGTGGTGAGGACAGCAGGGCCACCGGGGGAGTGGGCTAGTGGCTTGGGAGTCCCTGGGTCAAGGAGTGTTGGCAGATCCCAGAGGCTGGCTGCGGCGGGGGGGAGAGGAGTCTGAGTTCCGTCATCTCCTCTAAACCGCTAAGTTCTGCCGCAGGGCGGACAGATGGGGCATCGGCAGGGGTGGGGAAGAAGGTCCCCCTAATGACACAATTGGTATTCGAGGGAAATTAGTCAGGAGCCAGTAAATTGGCTCAGAGGGTTAGGGGAAGATCTCCTTTAACGCAAGGAAAGAAGCGATACAGCAGGAAAATAAATAGGAAGGCCAGGGCACGGGGGAGACCAATGGAAGTCGGGGGAGGGCTCTCCCCTCCTCCACAAGCTTTGGCAGAGAATCGCTGGGCTGGAGGCAGGGATGCTCTGAGGCTGCACACAGTCTGTGCCTCCCCTGGGGGCAGGAAGGGGGCTCCGGATGAACGCAGCGACTGGTGGGTTCTCACTGCCCACCACCGGCCTCTTTGGTGGGGGACAGGTGGGCATCCTCACTCCTTAGTGGTCTTATATAAGAGCAATCACTCCAGGCTCAAAAGGCTCAGAAGCAACTACGAAAACTTCTGGTTTCAAAACAGTCACCCACTAACTTGAATGGGTCCCATGGTCGGCGCTCCAAGAGTAGGACCCAAGCCTGTCTTGTTCACAGCTGTATTTCCCAGCGCCCGGCGCACTGCTTGGCATCCAGCAGGCACTCAGCGATGTCTGTAGCGTGAATGCCTGCAGGAGAAGCTGCAACCTGCTGGACAACACACGGAAGGCCAGGGCCCCAGTGCAAAACCCACTTGTGGAACTGGGAGGCGGGGCAGAACGCAAGCGAGACCAACCCCCAGGGCAGAGGAACTCTTGCTGCTGGGTGGGGGGAGCAGGCTCAGGTACAAGGACAGACATTTCCAGTGTGATTGAGCTGTGTGCGTTTGATTGAAGCATTTTTTGTGTGGTTGTTTTTATAGGGATTTCCTTAAAAACAAATAGATTGAGAGGTAATCATCACATAGAGATGGTTTTCCTTTTATAAAAACTTAACAATATTTAAAAAAAGTTAAAATCCAGACCCTCCCAATTAAATTAAAAAAAAAAAAAAGAAAGAAAGAAAAGAAAACCAAACCACTCCAGTTAAGTTATGGCTTCAAAGTTAATATATACCTAAGATATGCTGACGGAATCACCATCCACAACCGCGCTTCCAGACGTCGTTAAATACTACACTCAGGTTAAACAACAGGTTCAGCTCGGGCTGTTCCCTTTAGTAAAGCCCCTGAAGTGGATGCAAGTCTCACATCTTCCCTCCACCGTGATCAGATAATCCAGTAAAAGACCCATGCAGATGCCTCCCTCCCGCCCCAGACTCCCTCCCCACTCCTTGCCCCCCCTTCCCTTCCCCACCCTAAATCCACTACCACCAAAAATATACACTGCTGTTTCCAGAATGTGGGATATGAAAGACAGATGTGACATTCCGATCTGAGTCCCAAGATCTGGGCTTCAGATTCCTCGGCCCTTCCTCGACGCTGCCGAGGACGCTGCCCTTAGGCTGGCTCATTTCCCACGGTGGCCGCTGACCACAACACCCAGACTGCCACCGAGATTCTCTCCCTGCCCATCCCACCCCGCCTCCCTTACGTCTGGACCCAAGAGCCTTGCCTGCCAAGACAACCGGGCCAGCTTTGGTTCCACAGTCTGAAATGGAGAAGGAGGGCCAGGCGACACAGGGCAGGGAGACCCACCGTGGAGGGGGGCTTCTGGAAGGGAGGGGAGGGAGACCTCCGGGAGGGGCACCAGGGAAACCAGACGCTGCTCACTACTGAACAGAGGCCCCAGCGCGCAGAGCCGGCGTGACGACCACACGCCTGACCTGCACATGCACGGAAAGCTCGAGCAGGTAAGTGCGCACCTACAGACACACGTGCGCGCGCACACACACACACGCACACACGCGCACGCGCACACACACGTGTAAGGGCGCGGCACAGACCAGGCACAACAGGGGACGCACCTCGGCACATGCATACACGGCTGGACAGACGGGCACTGGCAGTCCCTCCAGGTGTCCCGACGGGGTGGAGGGGAGCACGAGGCCCGGCGCTGCCGAGAGGGGCCATCCTTCTGGTTCCCCGGGCTGCCTCGCTGCGCTGGGGTTGGTCCCAGAGGAAAGCCCTCGGTGCCGCTCAGCAGGGGCCACGCTCGCTCCTCCCGGGCCCTCCCAGGCCGCCCGTCACCATGCCAGGCTTCTCGCCAGGTGCGCCGGGCTTTGCAGAACTTCCCACTACAGCCGGTCCAGGCTGTGGCACTGAGTTCTCCACACCGTTTGCTCTCAGAGGCTCTGTGCCACTAGGAGGTAAATATAAAAGGTGTCTGTGTCTCAAACCCAATGTGGGAGTGAGCGAGTCTCCCGGGCTCTGTCCCTCTTGCGGGCCAGGCTCCTGGCCACAGAGGGCTGGGCAGAAACGAGAGGTAGGCCTCCATCGGACGCTCAACACGGCAGCTCGGCTGTAGGTCCCGCTGCCCAGCAGCGTGTGGGGAGGGGCAGCTAGATCTTCACGTCCTCCTGCACGCTGAGCTGGGAGAGGGTCTTCTTGATGCGCAGCGCGGTCAGGCGGGCCGCGCCGTTGGCGTACCAGCACTCCCGCATCATCTTCCCCATCACCCGCAGCGCCTGCACAGAGACCCGGCGTCACTCGAGCCTGCCCCCGCCCCCACTGAAGCCTTCCTGGTCCCCAGGCTGCCGTCTCCCCCACCCGTGCTCCGCCCGCCCCCCACCCCCTGCCCCGGGCTCCCCCTTCCTTAAGGGACAGCCTGGGGAGGGGGACCTTCTCGGCAAGCATGGTTGGTCAGCCACTCCCCGGTGTCTGGGTGATCCTGAGAGAAATACCTGCAACGGCCTGTGATCTGAAAATCACTTCTGGAAGGTTTGAGTATCCGTGTTTATGACTGTTTACTGACTGCTTTTTGTAAAGCAGCGCTCGAGCCAGGCACAGCAGGGACATCCCCCAGCACGAGCACGCACGCGGCTGTGACCCCACGTTCACGTGCAGAGACAGGGTGGCGGAGGAGGAGGCAGCAGCCCCTGAGGGGCAGCCTCGTCAGAGGCAGAAGCTCACGGCCAGGGCCCGGACGGCACAGGCCAGGGGCAGCCAAGGGGCGGACCTGGAAGGTCACCTGTGGAGGGCTACGGAGTCCCCAGACTGCTGCCTCAGGCCTGTTTTCCAGGTTCCTTTTAGCAGTGGGACCCGTTTTCCCCAGCGGAGTCCCAACACACAAACAGCCCCGACTGAAGAGGGAGTGGGGTGCGGGCAGCTGAAGACCAGCTCTTTCTGCTTCCCTCACCCTCTGAAGTGAATAAACCCTGAGGGTTCCAAGGACCATTTTGGAAAAGGCTGCTCTGTCAGGCAAAGCGGAGGCGTCACCAAAGTGTGAGCGCAGTAATTCTGCTCTTCAACGCAGGCCTGCCCTCCAGTGGACACACTCCTTAAAGCAGAGCCGCGAGAGAAAAGGGGGCCCAAGAGCACTAGCGAAGCAAACCCTGTGCCGCCAAAGACTCCAAGACCCCCCAACTCCATGCTTCTTAGGAATCTAGATCATACATTTGTCCTCGTTTCTGTTATTGCCATCGAATGCCACCCCCTCCCCGCTTCATCCGCCATCACTCCCCAACCCAAATTCTCTACACCCTCCTCGCTTCTGAGTTTTTAGAAAGGCCACTTCCCTCGCAGACATGTCTTCTCACTGAGTCCCACCCCCTCATTCTTCTACACCCTTCGTGGACGCCTCTTCTTAACTCTTCCACGAAGCTCAGCTCACCCCTTGGCTCCAGAGCCATTTTTCTAGTTGGGCAGGTCTAACAGCTCCCACTCAGTCTTTGTTCTGTCTCTTATCTGTGTCCTGGGACCAAGCCTTTTTCTTCTTCTAGGCTGTCAATTCCAAAGGGGACCCTCCAGTGCCCAGGACAAGGGCTCAGTATATAATACAACAGCACATAACAGTTTGCAATGACCGACACGCTCAGGGGGTAGCCCTGGGGTTGGCCCCACTTTTGGCAAACCCTCTTCTAAGGGAGAGAAATCGGGCAGATAGAAAGGCCACGGGAGAGAGGGGAGCTTCCCACCTCGTAACTCTGCCACCAGTTGGGGATGTTGGGGCGGAGCTTCTGGTCGCATACGACCTTCCGCATCTCCTCAATGGAAGGGTCAGAGGGCACTAGGTCATAATATGGTAGCTGATATTCCTCATGGACTCCTGGGAGAAAAGAAAACGTCCACCGGAGTTATCAAAAGAAGGAAGAGATTACTCAAAAGCCAATGACAACACCCATGTTGCGATCTGTAAATACCACTTCCCACTAAGAGGAACTAGGGCTCCTTGGAGAGCCTGGTCAGTGCTAGTTATGGGACAAGAGACACACAGGATTAGCCAGGAATATCTTTTTCGTAACAAAAAGCAAGGAAACTATCAAAGACTACTGAGGCCATGTCAAAAGGTACCGACCTGAAAAGCTCCCAACGGGCCAAAGATGAGAACATTTAAGCAACAGTAAGACCTATGACTTCAATGGAAACAAATATTTTAAATCACCAGTTCGTGATGACACTAAAAACAAACAAATAAACCAAAACCTCAGTCGCCTTTGTAGAATGAGAGGGAATAAACTCATTATTTTGAAAAATGTCAAATAAATGGAAAGAATCAAGTATTTATCCTGCCTTTCCTCTTCAAATTAAACATCTTGGTAACCAAATAGACAATAGGGGAAGTTTCTCTTTAAAGAAAAAAATCTAGCTAATACATGAAGTTTGACAGGATCGGAATACTGGCATTTTTCAACCTCTAATACATTTGGATTTGGACAATAATCAACAACAGCTGTTAACATCACAAAAAGAGAGGTAACCACCATTATCTGTGTCTTTTAACAGAACGATTTTGGGGGAAAAAATGATTCTAGTCTTTAGATGGAACTCTCATAGGAAATTCACAGAAACAGTAGAACGTGTGAACTGCATAAGAGGTTACCTGGAAAATCTAGACAGGAAAACCCTACAGGGTAAAGGACCTGGATTCTCCAATTTTGAAAACTGCAGGAGAGGGGACTTACTTGGTGTTCCAGTGGTAAAGAATCCACCTTACAATGCAGGGGATGAGGGTTCGATTCCTGGTCGGGGAACTAAGATCGCACATGCCCTGGGGCAACTAAGCCCATGCGCCACAACTACTGAGCTCTCGCGCCTCAACTAGAGAGCCCACGCGCCCTGGAGCCTGCGTGCCACAACCAGAGAGAGAAAGAACCCGCACGCCACAACTAGAAAGAGAAAACCTGCACGCCGCAACTAGAGAGAAGCCTGCGCGCCGCAACAAAAAGATCCCGTGTGCCTCAACGAAGATCCCGCATGCTGCAACTAAGACCCGACGCAGCCAAAAATAAAATAAAAATAAATAAATAATAAATCTTAAAAAAAACCCCAAAAAACTGCAGAAGAAAAAAATTGAGGGGTAACCTGTAGATTATGAGACTTGGGAGTTATATCAATCAACTGCAGTGGATGGACATTTAAATTAAACCCTGATTTAACAAGCTGTTTTTTATAAAAAATTCACAGATAATTGGGGAAATCTCAACACTGGCTAATGTTATATGATATTAAGAATTAAGATATTAAGAAAACAGAATTACTGTCTGTTTTTTAAAGTGTGATAATAGTACTATATTTTTGAAGTCCTTATCTTCTAGAGCTACAAACTGAAATATTTTCCGTAATAAAAAGTTAATTTAAAAAAATCCAATGTAACTTTCTCATGCCTTTTTCCAGAAAAAAATTCTGCTGTTCTGAGCTGATGGGACAGATTTTTATTTTTATTTATTTATTTTTTTGAGATTAGCATTTATTTTATTATTTCTAAAAAATATTTATTCATTTATTTGGTTGCGCTGGGTCTTAGTTGCAGCTGGCGGGCTCCTTAGTTGCAGCTCGCTGGCTCCTTAGTTGTGGCACGTGGGCTCCTTAGTTGCGGCAGGCAGGCTCCTTAGTTGTGGCATGCGAACTCTTAGTTGCGGCATGCACGTGGGATCTAGTTCCCTGACCAGGGATCGAACCTGGGCCCCCCTGATTGGGTGCACAGAGTCTTATCCACTGCACTACCAGGGAAGTCCCGGGACAGATTTTTAAATAGAGTCTGACTTGGTTAATCATCTAAGGAGCAATTAGCTTAAACTCTGGCCTCAGTCTGCCAGAGTCTGAATCCTAGTTTATCAGTGGTGTGACCTCGGACAAATCACCTAATCTGTGACTCACCTTCTTCATCTGCAAAACGGTGACAATAACAGTACCCACACAGACCCCTGCGACCAGATTCAGCTTGATCTGTTTTATCTGTATATCATGATCAAAATTTAAGATGTACAATACCTGGGTGCCTCCTCCATAATTTGGATTTTACCAACTGTATCACAGATGGAAAAAGGCAGTAAAATACAGAAAAGGGCTCTGCTGGAACACTCATCAGTTCTTTTTAATTAATTTAATTCACTTCCACTGACCTGGAATCTCTTACATCAAAGATAAATGGCTAAGGGCAGGGTTCTAGTGGTTCTTGAACTTGATCATGTGGCAGAATACTTAGAAGTCACCATAAAATTCTGATATACTAAGCCGATGATAAAAAATGTTTTCTGCTGGGCTTCCCTGGTGGCGCAGCGGTTGAGAGTCCGCCTGCCGATGCAGGGGACGTGGGTTCGTGCCCCGGTCCGGGAAGATCCCACATGCCGCGGAGCGGCTGGGCCCGTGAGCCATGGCCGCTGAGCCTGTGCGTCCGGAGCCTGTGCTCCGCAACGGGAGAGGCCACAACAGTGAGCGGAGCACAGCAACCAAAAAAAAAAAAAAAAAAAAAGTCTTCTGCTATATCTGATACTACCTTTCATTGAGTTCTGACGTGGTTGAACACTTGCAAATGCCAAAGACTTAGGAGAAAATTGCATAAGAAAAGACTCATTGTGAGAAAATTTACACATTAGTAAGCTTTCTCCCACAAATTGAGAAATCACCACTATTATTTTATCAGTGAAACCCCACATTCCCCAGGAACATGGCTTGAGAGCCAGTGTGTTAGAATACCCTGCCTCCTGTATAAAAGAGATCCCTGCATTAGTCCTGTGCTATTCCCACCCAGGGCTTTCCCAACCTCGAAAGACCAAGAAAGACAATGTGTTACCAAAAAAACCCCCCAAAAGCCCAAATGAGTCCCCTGAACGGTCACCACTACATAAAACACTATTCAACAAGCTGGTCCAAAGAGTAAACACACTCTTGTCCCTGCGGCTCCCCGGTCCCCTCCCTCCTCTTGGATGAGAACCCTAAGTATGATGGGTGCTGGCGCCAGGCATCTGACAGGCCGTTAGGAGAAAGAAGGCAGGACAACTCTAGCCCCTCAGGACTCTGGACTGCGAGGGAGGAGCCAGAGAAGGCAGGAAGAAAGGTACCTCCAGAGTTGCATCTTCGAGCAATCTCCCAGTACACGAGCCCAAGGGCGTAGATATCAGCACACTTAAAGGAGTCGAAGTGCTTCATGTTGATGGTTTCATCAAGTACTTCGGGGGCCATGTATCTGCAAGAGCAAAGGAAACGTGATCACGCATAGAAAATGATGACTTCTTTCTCGACTCAAAGTACTGATTCAAGGGCCCCCTGAATGTGGGACAGAATCACCCCAAGACAGCCCCTTGGGGAGGAGGAAGTGATGGATTCTTATTATTGCAAACTCCCATGCTTTGGATTCGAATCTAAACACCTTAGCAAGGTTTGGTAATACTAGCCTACTCTTAGTTCTACCTCTATTTTTTAACCGCCAAGATTTATTTTAAGCGTGTTTTGATTTCTTGGCAGAGGTATGTGTACTGTAGGCCACAGAGCAGGAACAGTACATAATATCTGGTTGCTACTGGGGGCTTGGACTTTATTCAGTGCAGCCAATAATGGGTTGAGCTTAAATTTCAGTCTGAACTTCTTTTGTTATCTTACCCGTGCACGTAAGTGAGAATTAGTTCTAGGTAGTCATCAGAGTCCCACTCAGTTAGTTCATGAGTACTGCTTGAGCCACTCCCCACTGCCCACAGAAGGCCAATCAGCTCACCTCAGGCCTCACACTTTGGGGCCTGGGTGGCTGCAATCATTCAGGTCAAAAGGAAGGGGAAAAAAAGCAGCAGCACAATTAGTGAAATTCACTGATACTCAGCAGAGAAACAGCCCTCCTCTTCCATCCTATGAAAAGTTGCATTTCCAGCTCGTGAAGTCGACCTGGAGTCACAGTCAATCTGTTCCTTATTTCCTTTGTTTTTGGCCATGCCATGCGGCCTGTGGGATCTTAGTTCCCCATCCAGGGATTGAACCCAGGCCCTCGGCAGTGAGTGCTCGGAGTCTTAACCATTAGGCCAGGGTACGCCACGTTCCTTATTTCTTATGTCACTTCTCTGTGACGCGGGGAGGAGGCCCATAATCCTTACGCGGGGCCCTCATCTCCACCCTGGACTACCTCTGCTCTAGCTTGGCAAACCTGCTCTCTACACCCTAAGCAAAGCATGCTCCCTGCCTCCTGTGGGGTCCTGCCCAGGCCACCCCTTCAGACTGCAACATTTTCCCTCTCCCCCAGCCAAGCCTGGTGCCTGTCTCCCTTCTAAATCTTGCTCCAGGTTCTCTTTCTCCATGGCCTCCCCTGCCCAATGCACCAGCACCTATGGGTATAGGGTCCTCCGGAGCTGTGCCGCTCGCACTTGTATCTGTGCGATGCAACCTGTGTGGCTTTCCAGTGTTGGGAGTGGGTGTTCAATTCAACCGCCAGCTGTCAGAGTAAGGACCACACTGCCTTCTCCCACGCAGTTGGGCAAGGGCTACTCAGTACCAGTGTCGGGCAAGCGCGAAGGCCCAAGGCCTTCCTACCGTTTGGTTCCCACCCTCTGGTTGGGGGCAATGTCAATGGTGTCCGTGACTGCATCGTGACGGACAGCCAGGCCCAGGTCTGCAATGGCACACATGCCATTTTTCTTCACCAAGATGTTCTTTGACTTTAAGTCTCGATGAGCAATTCCAGGCTTCCCTAGCAGAGAAAAAACAAACAAACAAACCAGGGATCTTTAAAGACAGACAGTACAGTGTTAAAAGCATAGTCTCTGCAGCCAGACGTATGGGTTCGAGTCCTCGTTTTGCTCCCCACTAACCCAGTAACCCTGGAAATGCAACTTCACCTGTCTATGCATTGGTCTTCTCATCCATAAAATGAGACTAAACCCCAGTACTGACTCCAGGGGAATGTTGTAAGGATTAAATGTACTGTATTAACTTAGGTAAGTCAAGAGCTTAGAAGGGCATGCGTATGAGCTAATATTGCTATATTAATACTACTCCTGCTCGCCTTCCCCGAACTAATAAGCTCCTGTACAGAACTGCTGAGGACTTCAGAGAGAAGCTGCTGCGCTAGCTACGTTCTGACAACCAAACGGGGGAGGTAAGGACTGCTACTTTCCCTGAAGAGCCCAGCAACAGGGTCAAACTTTCGTGGCTGGTTTTCTGTCACGGGCAGCAAGAGCTGCTGCCCGGTCGACCAGGCACGAAGGAGCAATGTGCCGCCTGCCAAGCCCAGGAGCTCCCAAAGAGCTGATGTCAGGCCACAAGCAGGGGTGCCCGCGGTCGCCTTCCTCCAGGAGGGCCCTCCTAGTTTAGCAGAGCCCAGTGTCGAACCCATCAAGCTGACCCACCAATGAGGGTGTGAACCTGCTAAACTGACGCTCGGCACAGCAGCTCCTTCGATTTTCTCAGTCCCCTCCTCTACCAGTGATCCGTGGGCATCTGAGATGACCACTCAGTCAACGGCAGCCTCCCAACCGACAGCCACGCCAGTCCATCGGGGACAAACCACCCACACTTCCGTCAGGAGTCCCCCGAGGAGCTCTGAAGGCAGAGGCACCTCTTGTTCTCGCTGGAGTGAGGCCAAGCTCCTCTCGCTTAGACCAGACCCCAGGCCCTGAGGCCCAGATCCCGCATCCTCAGGGAGAAGGGGTTCTGGGAGCTCGGTGGGGATGGGACAGGCCCACTCACCTTGGGTGCCCACAATCTCCATGTGCAGGTGTGCCAGGCCGCTCGCGGCAGACAAGGCCAGCTTGATCATCCCCTCGATGGTCACCGTGTACCGGTTTAGATAGTCAAACAGGGAGCCGTGCTCGTGATAGTCGGAGACGAGCCACAGCTGTGTCCAGGTGCCGTTATCTGCAGAGAGCCACAGAGCAGGTCCAGAAAAGGCACAACTACCAGCAAAAAGGTCAAGGTAGGAAAGGAAGAGTCTGTGTGCAAGCCCCAGTTAGACCCCTGTACTCCCCGCTCCCCGCCCCTACACCTCCTGAGGCCCCTCTGTGCCCGTCTCATCCACCACCGTCCACAGCTTTAGGCTCCAGGAAGGACAGAACAGTCTTTCTTTCTTAGACCCGCTCCCTTACTTCTCGTAGGCAGGATTCTGAACCGCACGCACCCTGATTACACCCAAATTTGAAATGCGAGGCACCCCGAGGAGGAAGCACATGCTTAGGCAAAGTAACAGGATCATCTGTTTCTTCTGCAACACTGCTTCTGATCCTGACGAGACCCGCTCATCAAAACCATGACCGGCCGCACCCACCCCCGCCAAGGAGGAAGGCTTCGCAGGCCCTCCTCTGTGCTCCAAGACCCTGCGAGCACAGCCCAGCCCGAGCACCAGGCTCATCTGCAGCGGGTCCTTGAAGTCCACTGCTCTTACCAGGCCATGAGCTCTCTGTGAGAGGAGGAAAGAGCTCCTTTGCGTATTATTGTGTTCCAGGCCAAAAATGCTTTTCAACGCATGAAGAGCACACTTACAAGTATTCCAGAGAGGAATCTTATCATCTCATCCTCAGAAGAGCAATGGGAGGTGGCGAGCACACACTTTCCTACTAGGGGAGAGGGGTATGCAGTGTACAGCGGGAAGGAGGAGTGGGAAGAAGGGAGGGAGAAAAAGAAAAACCAAAAGCTGGTAGTCTAATTAGCTTGTGCTGCTGTCAGTAAGAAGACTGGGAAATTGGATCGAGATCGCCCAAATTCCAAGCTGGCCCTAGCTCCAGGACGCTATACTATCCGTATCATGTTAAACAGGCAACAACAAAGGAATCCGAACTTCCTCCTCCCCTGGCCTTCGCGTGGGTTTCAACAGCCAGATCCTACTCACACAAGCTGCCAGAATCAATACAGGCAGCGGCTCCTGGAAGAGCACCAGCCTGTTTCCCTGATTACGAACGAGCGGTCCACCGAACACACCCCTTTACACTCAACTAGCCCTGACATCTTGAGGACCCTGCCCATGAGTTAGAAGGGAAGACATCTTCTGACCCTCTAAAATATATGTCGGATTTAAATGAATAATCAAAAGGTAATGCTGTTTTACAAAGGCACAGCTTACTGAGAGGGAGTAAGGAATTCTCTCTTCCCCTTCCTCCCTTGCGTGAGAGGTCAAGTCTCTTCAGCCTGGGGGCAGCTGAGGCCACTACAAACCGCCACGGCAACGTGAGGAATGAGCGCCCTGCTGTTGTTTTAGGAAGGAAAAACAAACACTTAGCATCTTCCGCAGCCTCTGCCAGCACCAACTTCTAAAAATTACTGGACCACGGAGCAAACTGTGTCCTGACCGCCGGAGACACTCTTCTAAAATGCAAATGCCTTCACCCACGGTCTTTCTGACTTCAAGTGCGCTACCTGCCCAGGTGTCGGCTGTCCCCTCTTCCTGGGCACTGTAAGGTCAGGGACTGTGTCTTGTTCTTATATGTGATGATTCCAGGACCAGACAGCAGCCAGTGAATATTACCGAATAAATGAATGCAATTTCGATTACTACCCACTCTCTATAATAAAATACAATCCTCTCAAAAAGGCCCTTCCTAATCTGGCCTCTGCCACCTCTCCACCCATGTCTTTGGCTGGAACATCCCAAGTTACCTGCAGGTTCCCAAAGACACTTCCCCTTTGCACACGTGCCTGGAGTGCTCTTTTCATTCGTTTTTCTTTCTGAGCAACTCCCTGCCACCTTCGCCTCAATCAAGCTCAGGTGTGATATCTGTGATCCCCATCTCACCCCCAATTTGCGCTCACCAGAACAGCTGTTGTTTGATTACTTCCTATAAACAATCATTAGTTTGTCTCTTTGCTAGTCAGCGAGGTCCTTAAAAATGAGCACATGCCTGGGCACACGAGAGAGACTCAAAAACTACAGCGAAATCAGCAGAGAGAGGGAGGAGGAAATAAGGAACCTCAGGTACAAGCGGACCAAAAGCTGAGCTTGGAGGCCACGGGGGAGCACCCGGGGGGAGGCAGGCCGTGTCTCTGCTGCACCCGCTCCACTGCAATAGTGTGTATGATGCTGGTCTGTCACTCAGTGTGGATCGCATGCCTTTCCAGGGCCAGCCTTTCCTGGCAGGGGTTGAAGCCACCCTTCTTCGTTCCAACCGGAATGAAGGTAAATTTACTGGAGCCCCTGCAGGGACTACCCTAGGGGTGGGTTTGGGAGTATCACAGAAGGGAAAGTGAGCAGGTAGGATGAGGGTTTACTTATCTGCTTAATAACTGCTTATTTACTTGCTTAATAACCTGGATTTCTGTACAAGCTTTTCATAGAAGAGAAGTTTGAAAACCATCGCCTTACTCAGATCCCCTTGCTATGGGTAATAACTATAAAGGCAAACAAAACTGTGCTGTCCCACAACCGTTCAGTTTCCACAGTCACTCCTCCATCTGGGACTACTGTTGGCTTTGGGACACCCCGTATCCAAACCCAGCCCTTTACCTTTATTGTCAGCAGCAATAAACCCAAGGATGTTTTCATGGCGCAGCATGACTGTCTGGTATATCTCTGCTTCCCGGAACCAAGACCGCTCTTCACGAGAAGAGAATATTTTCACAGCCACGTCACCACCCCTCCAGCGGCCGCGCCACACTTCTCCAAACCGGCCCTTGCCAATAATCTCCTGTAAAACGATGGTTCGGGCCACTGTGCGCTGGACAAAAAGGGGTAACCCTACGGACCAAAGAATGGAAAGAAAGCAGACATTTGTGCATTTGCTGAACTTTGCAACGCCCACTCTCACTGCCACACTGGAAAAGCCCTTATCACAGTGCCTCCGTTCTACACTGGTCCAATGACCACGGAGCTCGGCTGCCCCTACAACCGTCCAGGTAATCCTCCGGAAGTCTAAGCTGTGCAGGGCTGACAGTGAGTGAGCGAGGACGGGGCAATGTATACGATTAGCTCCTCCTCATCTAAGCGATTTCTCCTCCCAGTTAGTACGGACGGACGACAGATCTGAATGTAAATGTCTGACCGGATTTACTCTTCAGCCAGCCTCCGGGGGGCCAATCCACCTACAGCTGCTTTATGTGGAAGAGGAAAGCGGAGGTTTGAGTGCTGGGGGCCGCCTCTGCTGCTCCACTCATTGGCCACTGGAGGGCAGTGCTGCGTGGCCCATGAGAGCCGACGTGTGGTCAGGGCCCACCAGGTTCCCACCTCTCTCCAGGGAGATCAAAGTTCTGCTCACTGGGAGCTCCACATGCAGGACGGGGGAGGGGGGGGGGGGGCTACCCAGGCTTATTCTAAGATCACATTTACTGCCTTTATAGGACTCGTTTATCGCCTCATTTGACCCATGCAGTAAGTGTCTCCCTGTCTCTCCAATCACCCCCACCATCGTGACCCTTAACTCTCTCCCTCTCCCTGACCAAACAAATAACGTGTCGTTAACCCCTAAGTTGTGTACTGTATGTTTAATACTATGCAGGAGGCACCTGCATAAATGATCTCATTTCCTCACAACCACCTATACGGTAGGTGGTGTTATTATGCCCATTTTACAAATGAGAAGACTAAGCATCAAAAGGGAAGGTTAAGTAACTCATTCGAATTCCTACAAGCTGTAAATGGCAAAGCATCTAAGACCGACTCTAAGGTTTATGCTTTTAACTCCCACAGTACAGAGCCACCAAATGCTTCCCAATGCAGCCCCCTCCTCTCCAGGTCCCCCCTCGCTGGCCCTCGTCCCGGCCCTCCTTTGAAAGATTTCCAGTGGGCCTCTGCGCCTCCCAGCTCACCCGCCTTGCCCTGCCCTCCCCAACAGGGGGCGTAAAGCACAGCAGCCCGAGGCTTTCCCACCCTGGCCTGGGGACGGCGTGCTGGCCTCTTGACCATTCCCTAAACACCCAGTGAGCGTTCATGCCTTTCTGTCCTTTTGCTCAAGGGTTTTCCCTTGGCCTGGAATGTTCCCTGCCCTCTTACCACTCTCAAAACGTCCGACTCGTGACCCCTTTAGACACGACCTCCTCTGTGAGACCCTTCTCCACAATCTCTTCTCTCCCATCCTGGCTCGGCCTCTTTCTCATTTTGTTCGCCCTGTATCACCCAGAGGGTATTCAACGCATACTTGTTAGTGTGAACTGAACGTCACACAAACAGCAATGACTGGGCTTCCCTGGTGGCGCAGTGGTTGGGAGTCCGCCTGCC